AGGTCATACCGTGGGCGTCCACGCGCTGCACACGCCGGATGTCCCTTGCTTATCTGGTCGTTGTCATCTCTACAGAGGCAACACAACACTTTTAGTGTGAACTATTTTAATAATATTCATATAAGTAGTTATATATCTATGAACATATACGTTTCGAGGCCACGCGCAATTTATCATAATGAATAGGCGCTTTGTAGGCCTCCCTCAACTATTATATATATAGAGTTCTTGTCCAGGTTATTTATAATATTTTAACAAAGTCACAGCTCGCTACACTTGTAAAAAAAAAAAAAACTCCAACAATGGTCAACATATTCTGGTATACCGTAGTAAACATATTATATAATCCTTCATAATAGATTAACCGATGCAGGTAGGTTATGTAACGACTTAATAGGGACCTAAATGTCACACTATAAGCTTGATAATATGTCGAAGATGCCACCGACCATTCTTTATATTACAATTAAATTCCCCACTAGTGGCATCACAGGCGGACTTCGGCCAAGATCGCTGTACGTCCGGCTCGCGAAAAATAGGTCAGCACGAATAGTGAAGAGCAATGGACTGAGGACTACTCGCGACGATGGAACTCGGAAGAACGAGATCTTAGGAGACAGCGAGAGACCACTATCGAAGAATGCAATCGTGGAAACACCTACCTTAGTGTCCTCCAGAGATCAGTCCATTAAGGAACATTAAGTGCAGATCATTTATAGGCTTTGAGCAACATTAATCTTATAAAATCATAGGCATTGAGTTCCTCAATACAAAACCACACATTGATATAGACATACATTTTCTACATAACATTTAAAGTAATGTAAAATGTAATAAATACCTATATAGGTAATAGTCAATAATATGATAGTTAGTGACAGCTTTATACTTTTTTTTCAATAATTGAAGGTTTTTACAATTTTTTTTTATAGTATAATTTAATTTAGTAAAAAAATTAATACAGTACAACCAATCGCCTACCTTATAGAAATGGCTATTAAAATCTACACGATTCTGCAAGTTTGTGGAATCGTTCTCCACCGGTAGAAACAATCGTTTAATCGACACATTTCCCCTTGGTCCAGGGGACATACAATCGACTGTAATCCTTTTTTTATTTTCACATTCTGAAATGAGTTTTTGTTTTTTTAACTTATCTGTGCCTATGAAGAATATCAAATATTTAATAAAAAGTAAATGATCGGAGCGGTAATAAATTCTTGTGCGTTATACCATCACCGCAAGTTATCCGAATGTCGAACGAAATTCTTTTCGTTTGATATTACATATTAATAAAAATATGAATTGTGGCTTGGTGAGGAGCGTTTGTAGTATCGTACACTCAATCTGCGGAAACGCCCTGAGTGTAAGTATCGGCCGACGTTGTTAGCTCCCGGATGGGTGACCAGTGACCACTCAGGTTTTTAGCAACACTTACACAAACACGTGTTACAACCCTACCAACATAAAAACCAACTAAATCTATACAAAAAACTCCCTGCCTAATAAAAAAAAAATATTAATAAACGCCTATAGATACATATACAGTTCACAAGTATCGAGGAAAATTGTAGAAAAACTCAACTGCAAGAAGTGTACTCATTTAATTTTTTTTTTTTAATTCAAATGTATTTTTGAATATAAGCGCCTATTCCGCTCATTGGGATTCTATGAATTACACTTAGGTACATTATCGTCGATCATTTTTTTTCTCAATACAATAACATCAAAGTTAAGAAGAAAAAAAGTAACCGAAAAATAGCTCCTCTATAAGCACAAACTAACCTAATTACAACGATTGTCGTTAAAGTTAGCTAACCGTGGCTTCGGTTTAAGTACCTATCAGTATTAGACGATTTTACATGCGTCAAAGAATAGTGATCACAAATTTAAAGTGGTCTTAGCATTTTAAATTTTTGGTGGAGATATATGAACATCGCCGTTTTTGCATGTTCGTTTTAACTTAACGGCCGTTAACGTCCTATAGCCCATACACATGCAGTACACACCAGTATGCACGATTCATTGGTAACGACTAATTAGTTATTTTTCAATGTTTTTGTCAAAAATCGGTTACCTTCTTATTTGTATCAAATATTATGGTTGGTAATACTAAATTTCCAATAATTATTCGGATCAGCTATTTTTAACAGATCATCCGAATTGTTAATTCTCAGGCAAGGGTGACATAGGTCTTCCATTAAAAAGGTTCAGTAATCAATAAAATCAATTCGAATTGCAAAATAATCACAAAAATACTCTTCGCAACCGTCGTGTAAAAACCCCTCAGAGAATAAAAAATAGAAAAATATGCTATATGCAACAGTTTCAAAAAGTGAGACAAACATTTATAGACTAATAAATAATACAACGCAGTTTTAAAAATTCAAGGTTTGAGAAATAGTTTAACTTGATGACTACTTTATTTTGGAGTGAATAACGCCTACACTGAATACACTTGAACAGTGAATAGAGCAACTTGAAAAGTCAAAGTAAAATTATTTTAATTCATTTTTTTAATTAGTTCTGAAATTAAATATAATTTTTAAATGCTTATATTTTTTGAATGTTTAAAAAATGAAAACCAACTATTATTTTATGCCGATAAATTAAATATCGTGCGAGTATCATGTAATAACAATTATTTTTTTAATCTCCGGGAAAATTATTACACAATTATTGTATTTTTTTATTGCTTTTGTCGTTATTCTATCGTAATAAACGTAGCGTTTCTCATTCTTGTCGGTTTTGTTGAGTAGTGCGACAAAATACTGGGCCCAGAATCAATCAGAGGTGGGTACATAACATTCTTATGCCTGTATTATGACGATGGCGTGTTATTGTGAAGTTCAATAACAACAAATGTCGCTTCAGGTTCGGGCAACGTTTCGAAATTTTAGCTTTATCTCGAGTAGATATTGATGTACTTTTCCTTGACTGAGCTTAACCTTGATGTATGTAGCATGCAACTATTGTACCTATTACTGTTTAGATATTAAACAATTATGTAGCAAAATATAGCCTCGATAAAACATTTTTTAGAATAATCATATTGTGTATAATGAATGATGATTATTATGGGTCCGAATTTCTATGCAAATGCATATTTTTTTACAACTCACCAAGAATAATTTTGATCATAAATGTCGACGTTTCGTAATGTGCGGATTTTATTGTAATATTTTTCAATGTCTACACCGGACTTGTTCAAGTAAACCTTATGATTTTAAGATATCCTAAATACCTAGTTAGATCTTTGATCTTGTACGACATATATACTGTTGATATGAGTGAATTATTTTTTTCTTCGATAGCATTTTTTTTTTGCTATGTTGAATCACATATTAAGGAGTTGAAGTTAAATATGTATGAAACGAATCAGTTTCGAATATGTTCGATTGACACAACTATTTATCAATAATAGATACTGAAGATCAATATTGTCCAATATATGTAGTTAAAGTTTCGGGTCACTAAAATAAATATAATATACTGTAGGTAATAAGTAGGTACAAAAAGTATTGATGTTTTTATTTCTTTATTGTAAAGAAGAATAACAGTTTCATTTTTACAAATATACATGGTATAATAATAATTAATAACAATTAATAATAAAAACAACAATAATAATTAGTATACACATAATGATGATTTAGGTTAATATACAGAGTAACTTATCAAGCATGATTCTCCTTTTTATCGTTTAATAATGCATTCATTCAATTTTTAGTAGGTACTCAGTAACTGCTAATTCCAATTTTGATTTATTTACTTCAACATTCAAAAAAGAAACATCTCTTTAACAATTAATAATTAAAGGGGAGGTTTTTAAAAAAGTATATATCAGTCTGGATTTAAAAAATATGCCTTAATTAGGTATACTTGAAAATTCCAAAAATCAAAATTTTTATAAATTCATTACCTATTAAAGAAACAAATGGAAGTGAGCAAACTTGGCGAATCACCCTATACGATTTGAATAAATAATTGACGACTGTCCATAAATAAGAATAAAAATATTTTAAAACGAATAAACTACATACATAATACACGTATTCTTAAAATACTTAAGTTATACCTTCTATACTGGTATACAAAATAATCATATTAAGTTCATTTGTTCACAAAATCAGTTTTGTTCTAGCGAAAAATGAAAATAATATTTAGTTTATTAATAGGACGGACACGTTCAGGCTTCAGTTGTATTCTACGATTCCTTCATCTTTGAACATTTTCAAAATGGAATAGCCGAAAAACAGTATCGCTAGGAATGCATACAACACAGTGTATATCAAAAACTGAAAAATAAGATTGGTTTTAATAGATATTGTATCTTTAATCACCTAAATAATACAGTTTAATACAATTTAATTTAAGATTAAGAATTGTCAACAACAAAAATGTATAGTTCTTATCTATCTAAAAAAAACCATAAATTATTATATTTGTATATTACTTGTTGTGCTATGTTGATCTTAATAAAATGGCCTTGAATCACTCCGTATATAATAATGGTATTAATACATACAGCAATAAAAGTATTAAATCCAAAAATCAATCCGTAACATTTTTTATTTAATCGTTTAGCAACTTCGGATCTGAAAATTAAAATTATCAAACACTTGTATTTTATTAACTTGAAATTATGCGCTTTAATTTTATTGTCCTGCAGATAAACAGTGAATTTGATATTATTATATATTATATTACTTAGGTATTTGTCACTCACATATAAGTACAATATACAGTGAATATAATAATAAATTGTATGTAAAGGCATTCACTCGTATAATATGTGTAAACTATGGAATTGAAATATAAATTTAGTCACTATTTAGATGTCAGAAAACTGCAGGTTCCGACGTAAAATATCGTACAACTGCGTCCCCCACTCCACAGCGGTCCTCAAGAAGCTCAAATATCTGTCAGAAATGCTGGTCACCCACCTGATACCCTTCTGGTATCTATATTATATGATAAAAGTACTGTCTGAGTACCCATCACCAATGCTCGATTTTCAATTGCTTCAAGTCCCATAATATGTATGACTAAATATCGTAAAAAAATTTCAAATACGCTTGAAATGAACTCACTCGGCAATAGTCAACATAGTCTGATACATCATTCCGTATATGATGTAGAATGCGTAGATGTACCACAAGTTTCGGCAGTAAACGCAGCACAACAACACGATTGCTGCGACAATAGATCCAACGGCGAAGAAAATGTCACCCACAGAATACCAATTCCAATTTACCTTACTTATAGCGAACGCGGAAAAGGCACCTGAAAAATTAATCGAGTTCGGTAAAAATCATATTTCTGTGTAATATCTATAGGTACTATTATATTATTATTGTATTTATTCGGAACAGAGTATATGGACCGATTTCTCTCACGGGAGGGTAAAATTAATTTTAATTTACTATCGATTTAAACGACTTCCCAACATTCGCACTTCTGTTCGGCCACACCAAACCACCAAAAAATTATTCGGATCGCGCCTGCACTCAGAATATTAATTTAGATTAGGTGCATTTTACTTTACATACCGAGAAGCGTGTTGAGCGATTCCGCCGCGCCGTTGTACAACGTAAACTTTGTGTCTTCGTTTTCTTCCAACACGTAAGTGTAGAGCACATTTATGTACGCGTACACCTGTGTACAATAATGTTTATGATATGATCTTGAATTACAAGTGTAGTACATCATGGTTATATTACATTATAAAATAATATATAATAATATATAGTGTGTGAATACACTATACAGGTGTCCAGCCAAAGATGAATAGCTGACATGGGTGTTGGCGTGTTGCCGAGGTACATATTTAAATGCGGTGTGGGTAAAATTTCAAGTAATTTACTGTAATAGCTGTTTAAGGTCCCGGGATACCGAGGGAAATAAATATTATCTTATAACTTTTATGATCATGTAATTCAGAAATCGCTTTGGAGGGCCACTTTAAGAATTCGGGAAGTCTTGGAAAAGCCATATAAATGTAATATATGTACATATTATGTACACAGTACATGTTCATACTTCATCCAAAGGCAGTATGTCGAAATAAAATAAATTTTAATGAAAACCTCGTTTGATTTAGATACTATATAAGTAACAAAAAAAACAATGTCTTGTCTGCGGGCCAGATAAAGTCCGTTCCCCGGGCCGCCGTTTGGGTGACATCTTGTGTACATTATTAGGTGTCGAAAGGGCGAAAAAGTATATTTTTATAGTTCTAATATCATAATTGTATTTTATGGATTCGATATTTTGTCAAAGATAGGTAAGTACATGATTTGTGTTATTCGCGCAGACTTCTGTACCGTACCTAAAATAGTGTACATAGAAGTCTGTGCGTTTATTCTTTCAATAACATTCTACACAAATATATATAATATATATAATATACTGACCTGTAAGTAACCACCCATTGCCACTGCCCACCAAAAACAGAGCTTACGGACGTATGGGTCGGAATACGATTGTTTGAAATCTTTGTACAGCGAACTGATCACGCTATCTTCTGGTTCCACGACACTGTTATTCTCGGGATTGACGTTTTTCTATAGATACACCATACACACAATATTATATGAAACAACACAAGTATAACAATTAGCAGTGTAGCCAGGATATTATTTTGGGGAGGGGGAGGGGGTGTATAACATTTTAGGTTTTTGAACCAAACCTATCCATACAAATTATAATGTCAATCACATAGTTATGTCTAATGTAAGACCTACGTTTATGGAAGTACGTCAGTACAATTTCTTAAAATGTTGGGGAGGGCTACAGTTCTTTCATCATCACCTAGTGGCGCATACTCATAATAGTCAATAGAGTTTGGTGATTATTATAAAAAATATATAATATTTTATATTTTTAGGTATATATGAAATGCTGAAGGTTTTATATAGTCGTTATTTTATGCAGTTTTTGCACCGGCGTTTGTCAATGGTTGATTGGCTAAGGAGGTGAGTGGGTGATCTACCCCTGGGCCTGTGAACATTTGGGCTGCTTGAATAAATTTGAGCCGATAACGTATATAAATTTGATAATAATAACTGTATTCTGTAGCTTAGTACTAAAAAAGGAGAAAAATTCCAAACAAAGTGTATTTCTGGATTTAATTATTAACCAACAATTTGGGCAAAATATTCTGTTTCCCTATCGGGGGGCAAATTTTTATTCCCAGTCTGTTCCTAGTGTTTGTATACTACCTGAAGCCATGGTGTAACAAATTATATATACCTACATGTAGTTTTTTATATGAGAATTCTTAAAACCCGTATATTTTTATAATGACGCGCGTAGGTGCAGTAAGTAGGTACTTAAATATAATACTTAAAAAATATATTAATTCATTAATACGGTTTTATGAGGACCAACACATAAACACAACTACCTACAATATGTTGACTTTTTAATAATGTATTAATAATTATTATGACCTACAAAATCTTATAAAATATAACATTACAATGTTTTCACATATCACTCTATAATACATTACATCACATACCTCCTCTTTTGGAGCTGCTTCAATGCTAAGCTGAACATCTTTATCCTTTTTTGGGTTATATATGGTGACGGTGGATTGTCCCATCGACGTTTCTTCGATCTTTTTCTTATTGGGGAAGTAAAGACTATGCTTAACTGGTGGTAAGAAAATCGCCCATATGGTCGTAGATCCCATGCCTATAAACATAAGACGAAATGTTAGAGAAAATTATTGGTACATATTATTAATGCACATAATAACAATTGGAAGATTAACAGCTGCACATACATAATTTTCTCAGTATTTAAATATATTGCACTTTATGATAGTTTGTTATTCTGTCAAAACAAATGAATAGTTCGTTAATTTTTATTAATTGTTAATCAAAACATCTAAGTAGAAGTTTAGTATTGTATAGTTCAGTATTCCTGCAATATCAGTATGTATAAGTATAGCTGGTGATCGGTGGAAATCGGTTACAATTATGCAGAGGGGGTGGAGGCGGGCAAACAACTTAAAATAAATACCTAAATAACTTAACCTAAAAAAATGTCGCAATTTCATTATAGATAATATTACATATTTCTTAAGTTTTCACTTTCTTAATTTTTAATCAAGTAAGTATAGTAGGTAATTGGAATGAAAAATTCTCAAAATTTGAAAACTTTTGTGGTAAATGAGATTAATGAATAGGTGAGTAATTAAATTAGTTGCCCTTATATTTTACGCCTTTAAAAGGTTAGGTGGTGATATGTTATCATGCGTATTATAAAAACAGTACTTATATTATCACAGTTGCTTTTACCTTTGTAGTAGATACACAAACTAATGATGCACTGAAAGTAAATGCATATTGGTTCGTATAATGTCATCAAGTGCGATGCATAAATAATTAATAAATTGTATACAATTAATATTTGTACTTATAGTTTGTGCAATACACTTTTTGGAATTAGGGAAATCATGAACATGTTTAAAAAATATACCGTGCTAATGAATCGTATGATATTAAATATTTTTTTATTCTAACTATTTACAAAATCTTCATATTAGATTTAACTATGTAATTGTAACATTATAGCATGATATTTAAATTTCGTAAATTAAAAGTAACCAAGACTTCTTAAAATCAAAAACAATTTGCGTGTTTACCATAAAATATAAATGAATTTACTTTTGCCTGAAAGATGGACCATAATTTACTCAATAATTATATTTAAATTCGTAAAAATAATTATTGTCAATATTTTATTTTCATTTTCTTGTAAAAATGTGTGCAAAATTGTAGAACAAATTGGGACCACACTCTTATTATAATTTACTATTGTATATGCTAATAAAGTAACTAATATCATATATTATTCATATATTCTAATTTGTTGTTATGTCGTTTTATTTTAATACTGTTGTATTGTTATGGATACAGAAAAAAGTTGTATGAAAAAATTAACAGTAAGTAATCTATAGTTATACACTTACTGCAGGCCAAAGTGCTTAAATCGTCAACTTTAAGTAATTTACATAAATACAACTAGGTACTCACATAATTCAATTTTGTCATTTATTTGTTTTGTGCTTAAATTTTTTCACACACATATTGATATGCAAATTATTTTATGATTAGGCTTACCTACCTTACTCGTTATAACCTTTATTTATATTGTATTAGAGTTATGCATTGTTATTACTTATTACTTATTAGGTAAACAATCAAACTTATTTATGAACACTTACTCCATTTTAAATCGTGATATATGAAGAGCCCTATAATGCTAATGCCTACCTAAAAATCAAATACTATTTTAAACAGTTTGTATTGAAAACTCTTATCCTTTTATACTGATAATAGTCTTGTAGTGGCATACTTGAAATACTACGTGGACTATTTAAATATATGATCATATTTTTAACATATAGGTATATCGTACTGCATATTTTTGGGCTGGATACAACATTTATTTTTCTTACTGCTAATCGCTATAGTAACCAATAATCATGGTGACCAAACAATAATTACAATTTTAACGATTATTCGTTATAGGGTTATATCTTATATCGAATATTTTCTTAACAATTTTGTATGATTTCGTGATAAATCGTATAATTTTACACATTACAATTGTTTAGCTCTATATATTTCTTGGTTTCTTACAATAGAACAGTGATCATCAAAAACAAATAAACGATTCAACGATTTGCCGTGAAGTGGACAAAATAACAAATTTTATTACTATTTGTATTCGATAGGTAAACCTTACCACTTCTCAATGTGAATATAACAAAATATAAAATATTCATCCAAAATACTGTTGAAAGTTATGAAATGTGTTATTTTATAATTTTTTTTATAATTATTGTAAATTGTAATATTTATAGGGTATGTTGATATACCCATTGCTTTAATAATCCGACATCAAAACCGAAGACTTTTATTTTGGTTATTAAAACTGGTGAGAAAAACCGTTATAGGGTAAAAAACCGGGTTTTAAAAACTAAAATCTGAACCGCGAAATTTGTTTTAGTTTTCGTCCCTGGATTGCTAATCACACCTTTATAATATGCTGCACGATATAATAATACAAGATCGGCAGATTCATTGTCATACATTCCAAACGTTTACTTTAACCGAATGATCCTATGTCTATCACATATAATGTGTAAAATAAATTGATATATTTACCGAAAATAGACATATACACGAGAGCGTTGTACGGAGGAGTTCCAAACGTGGTGGCTAGAATTTGGGACAGACACGATGAAAAGAATTTTCCCGTCAGTGTGGCAGCTCTCGCGTGACCAGTTATTTTTTGATAAAATTCTTTTTCTTCCACCATTGCGTACAAGTATCCGAATAAAGCCACTTCGGCGGAAAAAAAGAACCCATAGAACGCCTGTCCAAACTGTAAAAAATAAAAAATGAATATTTCTTTTTATAAAAAAAAGAAATACTAATAAATGGAAAATAATTGTTATCTACTATATCAAATCCTATGTGGAAATAATCTTATTAGGTACTATTATACTAAATGGACTTTATCTTTTATAAAAATTATAATAATTTCAACTATATTAAGTGTTAAACGTTAAAACATTAATCGGCTATAAGATGATTAGTTTGAAATATTTTTTCTGTACAATAATATTATTAATTTTTATAATTCTTCCACCCATACAATGAAATCCATAATGTTGAAGCTTTAAGGGGTTAGATAATTATAGTACATTAGTATCTAATATTCGTAATTTATTTTTCAATTCCGTAATATGGAGTGAAATTTCGCGTATTTTTGGCAAAGATAATTTATAATAGTACCGACCCAATGCGTATGTTGTTTTTGAAAAAAGTAAATAATTAAGTAGCCTGTTATCTATTATGCATAAGTATAAGGAAGGTTTATTTTGTTTTTAGATATCGATATTTTTTTTAATTCTTGATTACGTAATCCTATGTGTAAGTAACAAGTGCAAATATTTTTGTATTTTGATTATCTGAAATGTATTGTAATATATCTAATATCTTTATTTCATATTTCACTTGAATAATCCTCTATATTCAATATATATGAAAATTCAATTAAACATTTGTAGAGGCTTACTTAATGACGGACATAATTTATGACTGAATGATGTCTTATTTCGTAATACAATTTAATACATAACAACAAAATTAATTAATTAATTACCTGTATTCTGAGCTTTGAAGGACGATTTGTTATGGCAATATAATGAAGTACTCCGCCAATTCCATCGACAATTAGTACAGGTTTGTATCTGACATAATCCGTGACCAAAAATATGATAATAATCAATACAAACATAGAATATGATCCCACAGCATAGAGCTCTGTTGGTACCTAAAAATGTAATGGCAATTCTATTTTAGTTATATATAATAGGTAGGTATTATGGCACACTGGTTATTTGAACACATTATTGGGAACACAAACGAACACTATTTTTTATTAAGTTTGTCTTTTTATACTAATAATAAAATGTATAACCTATAACCTTGAAAATATAGGTACCTATCTATATAATTCTATAATGTACGTAATCTCAAATCTAAATAAATAGCTGTTATATCATAATAATTTAATTATAACTTTTGTCGATTAATTGGAGCTTTGGAAAATAAAAATCACAGAGCACATAGATGTGTAAGTGTAATTAATAATTGTAAGTAAGTATATCAATTAATAGTTTAAACTATGAAACTTTATTAAAAAAAAATTAACGTATTTGACATTGGTAGGTATATGTTTGATATTTGCTAAAGCATTAAAGATTTTGATAAAAAAAAAGAAGAATTAAACAAATGTTGTTATTAATATTCAACAACATTTTGTCACGTGCCATTTGAGATTTAAGAGAGCAATTAGTTAATTCGATAAAAATTGAATTGTACTTTCAAGCTACTTAACATGAAGATAAGTAGTTGGTACATATTAGCTTTATTTGTTCCCTTTTCATATTCTTTAACAAATTTATGAGGTGAATTAAATTTCTATAAGCCTTTGTAGTGCAATTAATCAGTGTTTTTGAAATATGTCTATCGTTTAAATGCAGAATAAATATATTTGTATTAATTAAACTTTTTTATTTAAAATTGCCATGGAAAGGTAAACACACTATTCTTTCTTTAATACCTTCATGTCAATAGATTTGCTCAACCGGTGCATGTATGCAGAGATGTAGTATCAAAATGAATACTGTAGGTTCGGCTAAGTTTTAGAATACTGGCTCATAAAATTATTAAAAGTTTATAGAATATTTTATGGAGACAAAAAAATTTAAAAAAATTATTTTAAGATGCACCTTATTGTAACATTATTTTTTTTTAATTTATATTTTAATGGTAGGCATTTTATTCCACAAATAATGAATGTACCATTTTAGTAGTGTAACTATATTTAAATATTTGTTATAAAAAAATGATTTATGTTAAGTGAATATACTCACGTATGCTAATATTGCTAATATAATAATACTCTATTAGTATATAATTTACAAAAATGTAACAATTAGTACTTATATCCATGTAAAAATAATTTACTTGGATAATAATTTAATAAAAATATTATTTGAGTCATATACTCGTATGATGTATGAATGATTGTCATAGATAACTGAGTAGATATATAGCTGAATTTTGAAATTCGCCGTTAACAAATTGCTTATATAGTAAATATTGTGGAAAATATAAGCCAGATTTTGAATTTAAAATCTACGGTTTCAACTAAAATTGTTAAACAAACAAAATGTTTACATTGTGTTTTATTTTTAATAAACAATTGAAAATGATATTCAATAGAGTTAAAAAATTATAACTTGACGATTTATATCTATAAAAACATTATTAGAATACAATAAATAATTCAATATAAATAATATTAATATTAATTTCTTATAGACTGAATTTGTATTAAAATTCTATTGCCTATTAATAATTTATTGAGTTGGTATAATACTACAATGACAATTTATAATGTTGTCCCTACATAAATAATTACCTATTTAGTGTGTTGTTTGATCATTTTTTTAATCAGGTGTCGATTATTTTGTTTTAACATTTTAAATAGGTATTAAAATGTTTTTATATGACTGAAGTTAAAAAATAATTGTAGATAGGTACCTATTACCACCTAAACCTACAGTTCTCTGCAATTACATTGTTTTAATGAATAATGATATTATTTGAAGTAATGATTATTAGCATATGCACGAACAATGAATGCATATTAGGTAAATAATATTATAATATTATAATATTATTGTATAATGATTAACAAAATACATATTTTATTTATACGGCATTTACTGTTTTTCTTTACGCTTAGGGAAATTAATGAATAAATCACTGTACAAAATAATAAATATATAAGATCTTTAATATTTTTATGACGTTTATTTAACTAACATCTAAGCGCCTACTCTTTCTACTAAAAATAATGATGACAGACAGAAATAATAAGAAGAAAAGCCATTGCATTAAATGTATTTATATATTTTCTACAACAGTATAACACGATGGGTATTATAAACAAAAAGCTTCTTAACTTAACTAACAATCTTTACAATTTAAGAAAAAAAAATTTTACTTAATTTTTAAGTTGATAAAATAAGTTCTCATTATAATATATGTTATACTTTTTTTTATAAGACCTTGGTTTGCGCCAGAGAAGGCCTACAACTGTGTGCCTCGTGCACGCGTCTGATTATAGTCTTAACTCCTTGCGCTTAAGACAAATATGTTTAAGATTTTTAGAATGTTTTTACATCATATAAAATATATAGGTACCTTTAATAGGTACCTTAAAATGTCTTAAAATGTAAAAATGTATTGTACAAATTGTTATCAAATATATTGCTAAAAAATAACTATCCGTGTTTAAGTCAGTAATACATATACATATATATATATATATATATATATATATATATTATGTTAAAACGTAAATAACATATTTTAACCGTTTATATGATGTCATACGTACCTACCTACTGATGAATACAACAATTTATTTTTTCATAGACATCAACCAAGCAAATTGAAAATAGTACTGGTTTTAAACATGGGTATATAATAATAAAAAAGGTTAAATATATTACAAATAGTCTACCAACTATTTAAAGTACCTTATACAGTTGTACCTATACACAATTACTTTAATAATTTACGAAATATTCAAAATTTCAAAGAACTTCAAAAAATTATATATAAATTTGTTTTATTTTCAAGAAAGCAAAAATAAAAGAACTATTTAAAATTAAGAATAAATTAATTTTCTCTAAAAAATGATTAAACGACAATATATTTAATTAATTTAAGTATGCATTATTACCTGTTCTACAGTACAATTTATGTAAGGACTAGTCATATACGCAGCATAAAATGGTTCGATGGGTCGAAATTCTCTTATGAATGCGAACACACCGACCAAAAACGATATTTTCTTCCAATTGTCCATTTTGATTCTATTCAAAAACACCTATAAAAATTAAATTAGAAAGTAATTAGTTTAGTTTTAATTATGCTCTAATGTAATATATACTCTGTGTTGCAAAGGTACGTAAACATATTTATTCCAAATCAGTAGGTACAGCAACAGGCCTACCTCGTTTTTCTAAAGCAGGGGGCTGTCGATATTTATACCTTATTCTATCCAGTTAAGGAGTAGTTAGTTAGCTATTCTGTAAATCGTTACAGTGCATATACTAGTTGCTATAATAAAATAAGTAGACTATTTTTCACGCTAAACGCAAACTAAAATATAGGCAGTCATATCAAAATAACCTATACAAGTATTATGCTCATTAAGAAATTCTTGTTGGTAAACGAATACAATTCTGATTTTAAGTAAATATATTGACAAAGTTTCTGATGATAAACTATAAAATATTATTATTTTTAAGACATTTTTAATTATGAGCTTTTATGACTTACTTGATTACTAATTTTATGAATAGGTATAATTATTAAATAATGTGATGTGTGAATATTATTAAAATCATATACAACAGACCTATTATAGAAACATAGTAATTAAGTAAGTAGTTGGGTGCATGTTTATATTTTATAACGAAATCCTAATCAAAAAGTGATCCAAGAGTGAATAGTGTGTTATTAACACGGTTCTAACCTGTACAAAGGCTTATCAAACATACAGTCTTTTGAACTAATAATCAACGAAAATGTATACGCACCTTTATATCTACTTATAGTAACTACTATCAACCGTTTAAAATGTTATCGGTAATCGCAAAGAGCACAAACTTTAGAAGAACAGCACAACCGGCAATTACTATACCGAATTATTTTCTAATATATTCCTTATACTTTTATCATACATGTACTCACTTATTGTTTTATGATTCCATCAATCTCATTGAACTGGTCCGATGTTTGTCTTTTGGTTTTGTTATATATACACTCGAAACTTAACACGTTAATCCACCCTGGCCGCCCGTCAGATTATGTAATTATGTAATGTTATTATAGGTACACCTATCGGATATCAATTACTGTTAATTTTATAATCGAAAACAGCAATAATATAATTGCCTTGAGCAAACAAGAAGTCGAAAAGTATAGGCAATAAAAAAAAAAACAAAATCACGTGATCCGGAATTACCTCGAGCGCGTGCTAACTAAACACGGGAGATGTTACCAGGTCGACTAGTCCAAATGATCTACGCGACTGTGGTTTAGAGAAAATGTGAATCTGTGTAATAATATAATACATAATATGTACCTATTTGTGTCTGTTATGATAATATACAGAGTGATTCACCAAAGAATTTTCACACACCCCCATTTATCTTTTAACAATGGAAAATTATGATTTTTGGAATTTATAAGTGTATACTTAATTACACTTCCCGTAATTATGATTCTGCAGCACGAGAGGTATGATGATTGGGACATTTTAGTAAGTATTGATTATTATCGATCTATAAACGTTTAATTGTCAATTGCTATCTGAGTATAACAATTAATAACTAATAAGTACTAGACTAAAATATATTAGGTACTTACATCTATTTTGTATTTATATTTTATGCGAGACAATTATGAAGCACTATTATCCTTTATGCATCAAGCTTAGTAACCCAAAAACTACTCGTCAATATTTTACATAATAGTAATGTATTTGTGTATACATCATCAACGTTGTCAAAAATATGGTACAAAATGTGTTATCTGCTCAGAATTTAGAGAAACCCATTGTACAAAAAAATGTTGCTGCAAGACACCAGTATAAAATCTAAGCATTTGAAAGTTTAATCTCTAAGTATATTTTAAAAATTCCAGAATCGAGTTTTAAGAAATTCATTTTTAAATAATAAACCGGGGATGAGCATACTTGGTGGATCACTCTGTATATACAATACTATACTTTTGTTCAGTTAAAATTGATAGTATAAAGATGACCTAACCTGATGAATGTGATAAACTGCGGTGTCACTGTCCCCGTATAAAAATGATAAGGTATGTTTAAAAATGTATTTATGAATAAAACGCATTACAACACAGGACGCAAAATAAAAGCTTACAATTATAATACTTTACACATTTAAGCTACCTAATAAATGATTCAATGAAAGTATTATCTATATTTGCAATACACATAAAAACAATTTTTGATTTTTTTATTCATTGAACCACTGCAATATCGAATAACTATCTTCGTTTTCTTTAACAATGTAAAACTATTTCAATTGTTATGACAGTTTTATTAATACTATTTTAAAAAAGATTTATGTTTTAGTAAGTAATTTAAAGCATAAGATATAAATCGTTTTTAAATAGTATTAATACCTACCACTGTTATAACAAATTAAATTATTTCCCATTATTACATATTTATCTATTATTGATAGATAAAAAGTGTTATTTAAGGTGTCAGTCTTATACTCTGACTGATCATAGACAGTTAGACGCGTGACAAACGTTAAAAAAAAAATGACACCAATAAGCATTTTAAGTGAGTTTAGCATTTACCTTTAAAAAAAAATTTATATGATATGTGTTTATTTCATATTTTATCTGATCCATATCAACAGAATTATATATGGGTAGTATCATAATAAATAATAAAGATTAATAGAATTATTGTATAAAATGTGTTGATTTTTTTCATATGTATTGGTCGAAGTATTAGCTATAACACATAAATGCAGATTTGCATGAACAATCACTAAACATTTAACTAATAAATAGTGAGGTAATGGTCCTTTAAACACGAATTAGTGGCCCATGATTCGTCCATTAAATTTTATTTGACCGTTAAATTAATACATTTTTTATGCAACCCGGCATGTGTGTCAAAATTCATTGTTATTGTAATAAATTTACATTTATATGGTAGGTAGGAATACAAGTTAGCACCATGAAATTTCCGAATGGGCGAGGACCATTTGGGAGAATCGGCCCAAATTATAGTCCATCTGGGCGAATTTGTGTATACGGTTTGGGGGAGGGTTTATTCAACTAAAGTTACCGTTTGGGTGAATAAGATTTAGAAAGGTTTATAAGTAAATAATTTATATATCCTATAATAATGTACATGATTATTCATATATTGGTAAAGTAATCTACATTCTACAGTAAAAAAATAATAATTAAAATAGGTAAAAATAATTCCACTTGCCCAAATGGTACAAATGATACTCGTTTACAGTGGTTTTCGATTTTATAATTCGATGAATGTATTAGTTTTACAATGATGTGTGTTATATAGCTGTAGTTTTAATTTTTTTATACTCCCGAGACACATTTTTTTTGCCTATTAAATACAGCAGAGTGAGTTCCGTGATGTTTTTTCTTGCCTCAGATGAACTATCCGTGGTATGAGTATAATGTATTATCATACAATAATGTATATGTATATGAAAATTTAAAAGTACATTTTTAATCATCGGATAATTTATCTGGGTCTTTTTAAAGTAATGTGTACCTACCTAAAATACAATTCACATATTTATCATGATTTTTACGATGACGGCAGAACATTTTTTCACACATCACCAAAATCCCGAAACAACACTTTTTAGAATAACAAATACCAAATAGGTAGGTACGATTGATTTTTACGGCTTATTTGTGTGACAAGAATAGTGACATAATATAGGTATTGTTGAAAACCTTAATATTTTCTAATAAGAAACAGTGCTATAATAATGCTGGCTATAATAATAAATATTTTTAAGGCCACGGTTTGGGGGTATTTATATTTTTGGGGAGCACATTTTATCAGCTGCATACCCCTTAACCAAAGTCTGCGCACGCCTATCAAGGTTAGTTTATTGACTTTAAATTGTATAATATCATAATATCATATACTTAACATATTATGTACAAATTAGTATGATCTAAAATTCTATAATATATAATATCGCAGGGGGGGGGGGTGTAGGTAATTAAATTTGTCATTTTGGGGTTGCTGTAGTGGCCGCACTTGTGCAGAGCAGTTACATTAGACGAGCAGTTGAACAGTTCTTTTAAACAGGTGGCATATTGTTGTATTGCTGATACTTCTATTGGAAAAAAATCTTAAGATACAGCAAACACATGCAATTATAAGAAAATACATAAGACATCTGACGATTGAGTGCCTACTTAACAGTTAAGTACGATTATAGATATCTCTCGCTTTTTGTCAACAAATATACATTCTTAAACTCACCATCATAAAATATAAAGTAAAATCGCAAAATAATCCGAGCCTTAAGTGTCCTTTTTGCCATCATCGTTAATTTTCTGTTGTTTATGATGCAATAAATTATATGAGATAACACCATATAGATTTTTATTTCATTTTATCATTCAAATATATATATAGGTATAGGACATATCACTCATATCAGTGAGTACGTTCATTCGTACATTGATTTTACAAAAAAAAATCCAAATGGGATAGGTACCGACTTTGAAACTTTTTATTCTCTCCTACCATCTTTTTCGCTGGATAATGATGCATTATTCATTATTTATAAATCATAAGAGATTATAATTAATTTAAAATTTAAATGCAAATAGAAAAAAAATAATTGAATAGATCTTTGCATTATAAAAACAATTTTCAGAGCAAAGTTTGAGTATTATTTATGCAAAAATATTAAAATGTTATGGTAACGATAAATTTGGTTTTTATTATTTTTTAAATAACGAAATTCTATGGAAAATCGTACTTTAATGGTTTTACGGTATTTAAGGAATACAATATAATCAATGAACGTTTCATTTATATGGACCTATATATATTTTGATGTAGGGTACATTATTTCACATAAATAACGAAAAAAATTTATTATATTTTATGAACTCGAGCGGTGTATTGTTATTTGTTACCTATTGAATTTTGTGTTCTATCCTAAATAGGTATTACGCGACTGTTATTAAAAAGAAATAGATACAAAAAATGTTGACAATAAAAGTTGTAACCCGAGCTAACAGATTTGGTTAACCAACTTAACTCATATTATATTAAAAAATACGGTACTGGTCTAGTTGACCCCGGCCATGAAGGCAATTCCCCCGCCACTCAAGTTTAGTTGACGCCCGCCACTTACATTTTGTATTTTCGATAACTAATAATTTATATAAAAATGTACGATACATTTATTAGAAATTATACATTTATGATTATAAAAAAAATTATGACAAAAATTATACATTTATGATTATACATAACAATTCAAGCGATCAAAATAAAAATATGTAAAAAATATGGTAATAATAAATAAAAATAAAAAATAATAATAAAAATTATGCAGGTGGCCAAAATTCTGCTATATCCTTCAAAATTTCTTTAAATGGATCCCGACCGTTTAATTTACTCCGCCACATAAATTCTGACAAATAAGAATCTAGGAAGTTTCTCTTAGTCCCTCTATGTTTCTTGTTGCCCCATTTAGCACTTCCCCACATCCTCTCAATATTCTGTGTATGAGCTCCACTTATAGGATCCACAAAATTATATTTGTGGTTTACTGTTGAATGTGTATAATGGCCTGTTTTTTGTATATTATTATAGGCTCGCCAGGAATCAAATATAATGGTCGATCAAACTCGTATACTTTCGCAAATTATTGGCAATAATGTATTTAACCAAATACCCATTGCTGTGGCAGTATTCAACCAGCATTATTTTTGCGTCTAACAAATAAACTTTCGTCGATCTCGACAATACAACCAACACCTCCTATTTTGGAATCACCTTGAGAAATTTTCCATACACAAACTTCCCTCATAAAATTATTCCAATCTACTACAGAAGATTTGCTCATTTCAAATTCACGTTTTCAAAAGTCCACTGATGTCAGTTCATGAGCCCAACCATAAATGAAGTGAACAATAGTTGGCAACTTTACCTTGGCACTTTGTATCCAATTATTGGTCTTGAGACCATTTTCTGCTCGACATGATCTTAAATGACATCGCCACCGATCCCTTTGTGTATCCAAAACCATTTCGTGTCCACTGTCACAAGTCCTAGTCTTAAGGATAATATTTTGGTTTTGCAAAAAAATTATTGCCGATGAAACATCATGCACGTCACTATAAATTTGTCGGAAATTCATTTTCTTTTTGGTCAGATGACAACAACTGAATAACTGAGGTAGATACTTCATAATATTATATACGGCACCCGCTGTTATGCCTATCTTATATAATTCATTTTATCACACGGATTTTACCAAATATAATTCTTAAAATATCTAATTAGAGAATTTCACACAAATACCTAACGTATATGATTTCGTATCTTTTTTATCTGCACTCTGCAGTATATCAGTATATTATACATTAGTGGCGGGCGTCAACTAAACTTGAGTGGCGGGGGAATTACCTTCCTGGCGGGGGTCAACTAGACCAGTACCCGTTTGGGTTACTTAGTGATTTTATTGTAATAACACTTATGAACAATAAGATGTCTGATTTTTGATTTTAAAGTTTCAAGTCCTAAAAATAACTGTCGAAAAAGTAAAAAACAGGCATTATTAAACATGAGATATCAAGAATCAGGATTTTTACGGAACCAGACTTGAATCTTTTCTATAATTTTGTTGATAGGTGTTATTTCAATAAAATCACTCAATAACCCAAGTTCTTGGAATGCGCAAAGTATGTTTTATGAGAAAACACCTAAAAATTAAGGCCGATTGGTGCTGCAACACATGGTTGATCTATCTCTTGAGGATTGTAAGTTGGTATGTTTCTGTAGGACGTCCTCTTAAGTTAAATTGCTTCTATAATAAGAATGCAGTGGACATGTTCAATATAGGTAAATATTTAATCAGATACATAAAATAATATTGTGTATGATAGATTTAATATCTTTTGAATGAACTTGATGAAATTTCAACTAACTACGATTAATACTTAATAGTTTTTGAAAAACAACAAAATAAGAAAATCGTTGAAAGAGAATTTGTTAATTTATAGGTGAGTATGCAATGTCTAACTTCAAATGCTCTTAAAAAAATAATTTGACTTTCCGGTAAACTTTTTTCTTTTCCTAAAAGTAGGTACCTTAAGAAGAATTTTCAAAGCTAGGATATAAATAGAAAAAATGTTTATGAGTTGCTAACACAAAATAATTTGCAAATTTTCATGAATTTTGTGAATATTGTCAAAATTCAAACTTCAGACATTTATAAAAAATAATTGTTAATTTAAGCTCAACTTTTTTTATTAATTTTCACTTACAACAACTTACGAGGAACCTTGTAATATATTTTCAAGTATTTTGACTGAGCAAAAATTTTTTTAACAACATTAGTTTAAAAAAAACCAAATAATAATCAAACCATATGCATGTAAATAGTTCAACACGAGTTAAAATATTTTGAAAATTTAATTAATGAGTATTTACTGTTCAAATAATCATTGTGTATGGAAACAACAACTATGTAACTGACTCTCTAGATTGAAAAATACAATATAATTTATAAAATAATAACAAAAAACTGGATTTTAGATGACTGTGAATATCTATTAACATTTGTAAAATGTAAACAATGTATTAATTTCTCATTTTATAGGACAATTTGGTTAATTTCCTGACTGAATTTTCAGTTATTACATTGGCTATTTACTTTTTATTGTATACCCATATGGCTATATAGATATCTGTGCCTATACCTAACAATTTCTACAGGTTTAATTAACTATTTCATACCCATAGCATTGCTGTTGAACAAAAAAACTCCATGGCTTTTTCCTGATTTTTCAATCATTAAGTAAAATGGATGTGAACCATATCCATTCATCTAAATAAAAACATAAATTTACTGTATTGTAGTATAATAAACTGAATAACAATATTAACTTACATCATTTGTTGGAGGACTATCATGGTTGAAAAACGTATATGTTTTCCAATTCATATCAAGCATGAGATTAGATCTATGTTCACCTAACCCATATATATATTTAGTTGGTAATAATGCTGAAAGTTGAATAAATTGATCAGAATAAATGAAACCTCCAATATTTCGACTGTCAAATCTAGATATAAAAAAAGATATATATGTAAAAAAAACTTAAGACAACCTATAAACCACAAATTCTAAGATACATACATGGTTAAGTTATCAATTTTCCTCAGAATTGCAAATCCAACGTTATTATCTGATAATTGTACAATATAGTCGGATACTAATGGCTCATTTGTATTATTTAATTTAAGTATTGGTATTTCAGGATATGGTGGCTCATAACGTTTATTCTCTGGATCGTATATCTAGATGATTAAATAATTAAATAATATAATTGGTATTAAATTTACAAAAATTAAGTTACTTAAGTGAAACTTTTTAATAATAATACTAACAATAAAATAAATATACACATTAGTTTTTGAAAATTTATAAACTCAAAATAATTTTTTACCTTAACACGTAATCGTTGTGCTGTTTGAAATGAAATATCCATGCACAATACTTTAATGTCATTTTTATAAATGGTATTTGTTGTTATGTTAAAAAATGCTATTATTTCATTTCTGGATTCAGTCACATTAATAACTTTGTAATTACTATAATTTGAAGAATAGTAACACCAAGGTATTTGAGAATTTTGAATACTAGGAGACCAACAGCAATTTCTTTTTTCACAGCTTTGCTTATCAGCTTTTCCTCTTGGAAAACAATCAAATTTATATTCATCCAAAGTTGCTGTACAGTAATTATTAACTTCATGATTAGAACCAACATCAATCTTCTGTTTAAGATATTTGCTTGAAATATTACTATTTTCCAATATCTTTTCATTGTCACTTATTTGTAGGTATATTAAAACAAACATCAACAACAGAATGGTGAGTAATGAAATAATTTTGTAATTATTACATTTTGGAACTTCTTCAACTGAATTTTTAAGCATAATTGGTGTATATTTAATTCCAGTTTTAGTTTTCATTTTCATTGTAAATAATATGACAACTTTTGATGTTTAATTAAATTACACTAAGCAGAAAAAAATATAAGTATAGTAATATGCACATTTGGTACATACGAATCTAATTGGTAAGCATATTAACAGTTCATGAAAGTGTAACTGTTGAGTTAAAATATGATGTACTACTGACCTTACTTATTATTGTATTTATAATGTCTTTTATATGCAAACACTGCATGTGTTTGTAACTCAAATCTAATTGCCTTTGACACAGATTCAAAGTTCAAAACTTAAATCAAAACATTGTTAATATATTGAATAAGAAAACAAATTATAATCTCTATACTTCCATTGATAATTAATAATTAATACAATCCGATACTCCGATAGTATTATAATATATATACATTGTCTGACAAAATATGACAATCTATTTAACTGTCTAAAAAACGATAATTCTAAATTCAACGATTTGGACGAATTAAAAAAATCAAAATAGTAAATACTACCCAAAATCCAAATAGCAATGAGAACATCAATTTGGGAAGTTAAAATTCAAAAACACAGTAGATAATCTTAAAAGTATAATGTACGGACCGGTCCGCTAGCAATATTTGATAAGAGAATTCAAGTTTTCCCAAAATCTATTGCTAATCGTCAATTTGTATACAAAGTTGCCTACCTTAATCCTGAAAATCTATTGCTAACGTTCAATTGTGTGTTTATTGCCTACCCGATTAACAAAAATCTATTGCTANACAATATATATTGATGGGACTTTTAAAAGCTGCCCAATACAGTTTACTCAACTGTTTACTATCCACGGAATGAAAATAATAACTACATACTATTGGTATTTTGTTTACTTTTGGACAAAGTTTCAATAATATAATATGTATAATGTATATATAGGTATATCCGAGTGGAGCGACTTTTGACGCGCGGCACAATTTTCGCTGTGTCGGGATGGTCATTTTATATTTTACTCAAAATAATCCTCGGACTCAATTCGTATACAATTAGTTTCCTAACCCCGGACTCAATTAGTATATGTCTCGTTTGTACCCGGGACTCAATTAGTATATTAATTTTTTCCCGTTCAGGTACAGGGACTCAATTAGTACACAGCGATCATGCACGTCACTATAAATTTGTCGGAAATTCATTTTCTTTTTGTTCAGATGACAACAACTGAATAACTGAGGTAGGTACTTCATAATATTATATACGGCACCTGCTGTTATACCTATCTTATATAATTCATTTTATCACACGGATTTTACCAAATATAATTCTTAAAATATCTAATTAGAGAATTTCACACAAATAACTAACGTATATGATTTCGTACCTTTTTTATCTGCACTCTGCAGTATATCAGTATATTATACATTAGTGGCGGGCGTCAACTAAACTTGAGTGGCGGGGGAATTGCCTTCCTGGCGGCGGCCAACTAGACCAGTACCAAAAATACATACACATTTAGGCATCTCATCTAATATAGACCTCAAATGTAGGTGGTTAGGTCTTGGATTTTATCATACTCGTACAGTCTTACTTATATGTTTTAAAAAATAGGGTTATTTAATTATTACGTTTGGGAAAAATTGAGTATTTCAAAAAATGAATTTTCAACAATTATGGGGGGAGGGGAGCTGCTATACTATTTATTGTGTGGAAAATCCCACCTTCACAGTGTGATGCAATTATACAATTAGAATTTAGAGCCACTCGTAGTGCTATGGTAATATACTATAATATAATAGATTAATTACATATTTAATCATTGGTAATATTATATAATAATCGCTTATTTACACTTCCCATAAAAATAACGTATTATTCCGACTTATTCGTCACTATACATTTACCTTTGCTGTATATTGACATTGTTGACGATAATTATTGGTAACATAATATTATTAATTATTATATTGTTTAAGCGTCAGTACCGCAACTACCATCTGATTTCATCATACACATTAAAAAAATATGTGTATGTAGTAAAAAAACGTGAAAATATAATATTTTTGATTACGATTTATGGCAATTTAGACAAATTGTGTATACCTTGCAATAATGCACTTTCAAACGTATAACAACTTATGACATTTCTAAAAACAAATCTGAATTTCTCATGAAGTCGACTTAAAATTTAAATTATTTGTTACTTTTTTTTAAATTTAAATTATCTCTTAAACATTCAGCAAATTTGGTATAGGTTTTTTAAATTTAAAACCTATTTTATTATATTAGATTAAAACAAATTAATTAAAAAAGTGTGTAATTTATTCTAATGTAAAGCTATCGATAAATTGTACACGGTTTTTGAATGTCTTATCACTCTTATCCAATAAATAGATCAACAGGCATGATTGCATGATGAAAAAAAAGTACATATAGGTAGATAGAGTATAACTACAGTAAAAAAAAAATTCGTCTCTAACTTTCGACACGATGACAATGACATATTGTGTGCGTGTACTTACATGTGGATGCTACACTTTATGATACATAATTATTAATTGATAGACGTGCATTGTGTCCGTATACAAGGTAATTTACTAAGACAACACAAGTGAATGTTTCCTTTATATTGCCCATAACAAACTCCTTAAAAATGGACTATTTTCGATCACATGATGTGTATGGAAGCTGCTGATGTACACATTATAAATGAAAATCCGAGGAGGGGGGCTAGGGGGAAGCCTCCTGATATCCCATTAGCCTTCCATTTTCAAAAAAAAAAAAAAAAAAAGATAACTTTAAGCCCCAGCTGAAATTTTAATGGAGTTAGCAAACTATTATCCGTTTTCACTGTTTGACACAGCAAATGTACATTCAGCGGAACTCATGTTGTGTTGTCATCTTTGATATTATAGTGGAATGATTCCCTGTTACTAAACTTAAATTTAAATTAAATAAATAAACATTAAACATATTTAAATACAACTATAAAAAATGTCTAGGTACTTACCTATAATAATTTATTATAAGTTAAAGGGATTGCAAACCAGGGGCGCGCCTAAAGTATACAAAAATACGAATTGATGGTACGAGAGGGCTCCTGCTATTTCTATAACACGCAGATGATCACCTGAACCTGCACGCATTTACATAACCGACACAAACACACTTAAAAAATTGCCTATATTTAACTCCTTATAAACACGGTTGGTTTTGAAAGTTACAGCTTGAATCTGAACATCTACACCAACAATTTGGATTCATTTCACTGGTTCCTGATCTTACTTATTTTCTGATTGGGTTTTCGTTGACGATTTATTAGTTTGCACAATGTGACACATTCTAGGCTTCATTCTGTGAAATGTATATGTCTATTATAAATAGTATTACAGTAATATAGTCTATATTTGTCAGTTCTAACAGCACATATTAGTACCTATATTAATAACCAACAAAACGTGTCTAACCTAACGGGTTGAATAATTAATATATCATTGTATGAGATTTAGTAAATCATTTACTCCATGTTCCTCGACGAGAATTTTTGCAGAGATTTCACACTATTTGTGAACACAATTAAAAACAATTTTATTTTATTTATGTATTGGGTCCTGTGGTTTTTCATTGAAATTGGTTATTTTACTTTTCCGGGAAATATAATGTATTTTATAACTTTATTATAAATATGAAATCGAAAAACTTGAAATAAATAAATATTTAATAAATAATAGGAGTGTATTGGTAACTGTGAAAATATGTGCTGGGTCCACCCGAATCTAGCCTGACCAGTAACCACTAACCACCGATTAGAAACTCTGCATATGCCCACCAAAGTGTATTCTATAAGCAATAATTTATCATTCAAACAAAAAAAATCATACTCAAAACGAATTTGTAAAGTTGTACAAATAGATTCTATAAACTTTAAATTCCCTAACAATGGGTGGTTTTCTGTTTGTCACAAAGGTTGAAATGTTGAATAAAATTCGTATATGTGTAATATGTCGGGAGGGGTGTCCAACATTTTTTTTTTAATACGGACACTGCTGAACCAACATTTTTACTTTCAAAATATGAAACTCTTGTTCTACCTACTTTTAAAAATTTCTAAGGGAGAACATGGCCCATTCATAGCTGTATCATAAAGATCAACAATCGAAATCCTAAACTGGACTCCAATAACTGGAGTAATCTATTCGACTCAGAATTGGTAGAAATTGTTACAATACAGCTTGTAGAACAGCATTTACATAGTACTTTTACCACCCACGGGCTACGCATTATTATACAGTATTAATATTGACGTATATAATGACTGAATATTTGAAAACACAATTGAGTCGATTACTTTTAACGGAAATGCGGGCTAAATCTACATACTTCGCATTAGAACAATACCATTTCATAAACATTTCTATCTGAAATGACTGCGTCACTACAATGTCCCCCCGCATACATTATCCATGTAAACATTGTAATAACTATAAATTATAATATTTAATGGTTTATATACAAAGTGATTATTTCAACACAAAAACCAGACAAACCCAATACGCAATGTTAGAATTTAAATATCCGGCGATCATATTTTTCCTTCCCAAAACGGAAAGTAAAATGCTCCGTCTTCATAATGTTTAAAGTTTCAATTGCAGGTACAAGGTGGTATATTATCCAATTATTGTATATATTCTGTATATCCAATGAACTGTATTTTTCGTAAATGGGAAAACGGAGTAATAAAAATGTGTTTATAGTCTTATACAAAATTAAACACAAAATCTGGGCACATAATGGTAGTCTTTAAATTTAATTTCTATAAATAATAAATCATAGAATTGTAAAAGAAGATTTGGTCCATCGTAAGTCAAACTTTAAATGGTCAAAATGTTGTTAAAAAGACAAAACTAGTTATAATCAGTTATCAATAATTATGACTGTTTACTAGGTATTACATTTCGAAATTTTCTTGGTATCGTGACACACTGACACAACACATTATGACTGAACACTAGCAGCTGCGTGTTGAAAAGTGTTTCATTTATCGCGCTAATAAACAAATAGCGATGCTCAACCAATCCATCAACATTCAATAGCATGCCTACTGCTTTATTATAATCGAACGACGAATAGTTTATTATGAATTTATGATACTTAGTAGAACCTATCATTATTCAAAATGATTATCATATCATCGTATTAGGTATGTTTATCGAATGTATCTAGAGTATAGGCATGGATTAGTAATAAATTATAATACATTTCACAACATTACGTGTAATTCATACAAACAAGATTAAAGGATATAATGTATACGAGAAAGGATCCCCTATAGGACTTGTAAAAAATCAGGGTAGTATAATGTATTATAGAAAATGGTTTAATTTTTTTATAGTAGAGGCGTTTACAAACATAATATAATCTAGTTAGTATTAATACAAATCTTTAATTCAACAATAGAACAAAAACAACATTTTATATTTTTATCTAGAATTTCTAGTATATTATAACTATCATTAGTATTTAGTAGGTACTTATCAAAAGATACAATAGTTATGTAGTTGAATTTTATCTGATAATATAAAACAAATAGGTATGTTTAATCTTTAGTAAGACTGAAAAACTACTGTAGACATTTTCTAGACATTCGCAAACGTCTGGATAATTATAGGAACTAAATAACCGAATTAATATCGATTTTCATAAGTATTATAAACATATAGGTATACAAAAATTATGGCTACTCAATTATAAGATGAGACGTAAGAAATGGTATTTATATATCATTATGGCGCGATGTAAATCTATATTTTACATATTTTGTGAGGTCGTAAGTTAACCATAAAAATAACATAATTTCTAATTGACGCCTTGGACTAGACTGTAACGATTGGAACCATAAAAAAATAAAGAAAAACATCACTGCTCTTAATCCGATCCTGCGTTGTCATCGTTCAATAGATTCGTACATGACTTGGCTTTGGTAGTTCTTAAAAAAACAAGTCATCATACAATTAAAAAATAATAAAAATAAAAAATCAAGAGCGTAAAACACGATGGCTTTCTATGCTATGACTTATAAGCTATAATAATAATAACATTACTGCAGCCTAAATAAAAATATTTTTGGAACAACAAATGTAAACTGTTCATTTTTAAAGTGTCTATAAATAAGGAACAAGAACCAGTTTATAAGATACTCAGAATATTATTATAACTTACATTTAGGAATAATTTTTATTTTTACGGTATTTATTACATCACTATATACACTAAACATATTTTTAAGTTTTGAATTAACTTAAACTGACGTAAAAGTGGTAAATCCACCTTTACACAAACTTCCTTGGCGAATAATTATAAACTTGCATAATATTACCTATGCAAGTCATTATATAAATATGTCTTTTTTTCATATATATCGATATAATATAATATTATTATGTAAAATTAATACCCATATAGTTTTTTATGGTATTTATTACATCACAACATTAAAAACATTTTTAATTTTTGAACTAACTTAAAGTGATGTCAAACTGGAAAGTCCTCCTTTACACAAAATTACTTGGGAAATAATTATTAACTTGCATCATTTTATGTAAGTCCTTACATAAATATGTCTTTCTTTTTCATACATATCATCGTTATTACTAATATATATTATTGTGTTAGCAATTTTAGTACGTAAAATTGTGAGTATAGTAGATAACTTTGTTAATGACTATAGTTAATGACACAATCGGAGATTACAAAATGTATGGCTTTGTGGCAAATTCGGGATTAATTTAACCAACAATGATCTGGGACCTATATACAATTTCAAAAAAACTATAAGGTTCAAAGTACCATTAAGTTTGAATATACTTAAACACAGCACACAGTGGCTTAAAAATATCTCATATAAGGATATACTAGAGACAATAATCAATGACGAAAGAAGATCAACAATGTTAGAATAAACAAGTTCCTAGCAGGGTGAAATCCAGAAATTTATCAGGGGAAAGGGGGTACTTAAAATGTATTCAACATCAACAGATACTATTCATATTTAATAACATACATTTTAATATCACCATTCTTTTGGGTAGTAGGTATGTTAGTATCGTTATAAAGAGTGGTAACCCTATTACCCCCCCCCCTGGATTCGCCACTTGTTCCTAGTGAAGTCCAATTCATAAATAAAACTTACAAGAGATATTTAAATATTTTTTCAGGCTGGCTATTTTAATAATCTTGTTATTGAAACCTCAAAATACGAAATATATGTAATTAAAAAATAAAAATACATTTTAGTGAAAATATATTCATATTATGTTGTTTTAACTTTTAGAAGTATTATATTAGTTATAGTATATAATAGATTAAACATTTTATTGACACAACTATTGAGCTATAGCCTATATTTGTATAATAATAATATGATATTAAGATATATTGCATTTTAAAAGACAATATTATAATTTATTCTATTATCTTATCCTAGTAAAAACTTAAATTATTTGAACGATTTTGAGTGTTATTTAAAAATTGACATAAAAAGAAAATTTGTAGCTTAAAAATAAACTATTTAAATATTATTTATATGCACATTATTTACCTATTTGATGCTTTAGATCTACGACAAATATGTAGAGCAATAGAACCGCTTTTAAACGACTTAAATAGTGATATAGCTTCTGAATGAGTCAAGTCGTGACAAACATTTCCATTAACTGCTAGTATTTCATCTCCTGCAATAATAAATAAGTAATTACATATTTAAATAAAAGTAGATTGAGACAACAAAGCAAAACAGTAGGTAGTAAATAATTATACGGGTTACGTATTCAGAAACGTATAGATAACCGTTGGTTGAATTACACATCACTGGTGACGCGCGGGGTGCGTCACTAATTTCACATTTGGCTAAAATGTCTGAAATTGATAGCTATAAATTAAAGCTATATTCTCTTTTTTTGGTAGATGATTTTTAAAATCCATAATTCTAGACTATTTCAAGTAAAAATATATCTGTAAAGGCAAATGTTGTTTAATTGAAGGCGTGTATAATTTTCACTTATTCGTAATATTATTTGGATACCACATAAAATATGACGTATACGGTATGCGGTGTTGGAGACTTTTTGACTTAATACAATTATGCAAATTAAACAAATTATGTAGCACTGTTATAATAATTATTTGACACTTATTATTTATCAGAACATTTTAATTAATATACTAAACGATAAATTTATATCGAGATAAATATTATGAATAGATCGTTGAATAATATTCCAATTTTTTTTTTTGTAAAAAGATACCTTGCTCATCAGAAATATAGGAATTCGTAAGATTGATTATATATACTAGAAGTAAGAACTTAAAACACGTTTGTAGAAAAAATATTTATTTACTATTTAAAAAGTTTACTTATACTTAGAAAGCTACAATATTATAGTTATAAAGTGTATAAAAATGGCTTAATTCGTTAGTACCTAACTATAATGCATTTGTTCCCTTTAAAAGTGGTGTGCCAGAAGAGAATATCAATTTATCTTATAGAGTTATATAATTGAGACCTATTGAGATCAGATTTTGTAAACATTTGTTTTTTCTATTGGTTCAATACCCTAATACGATACACAAAACTATAGGTATCTGCTATAAATTCATAAAATTCTATCAAACTTTTTTAATTTAGGTCTACAATTGGTTTCTTGTATTTTTAAATACAACGTAATATGTATACTCATTCACTACACATTTTGTTTTTAAGAATCTTCTGAACTACACTATAACGCATATACTGCCATGCATAACAAGTAATAACAAATATTAAATTCAAAGAATAATACAAAATAAGTACGTCTTAAAATTGATTTTTTTTCAAATAATTTTAGTATATTTTTAGTGCCTTATTTAGGTTATTTTGCTTTGCATATTTTAAGTATTTTTATTAGAGATTTGGTACTGCAAAATCCTAGCTCATATATTTACCAGGTTTTAATCTTCCGTCCTCCGCAGCCTGACCACTGTCCAAAATGCTTTTGATGAATATGCCCATGGCTCCTTTCGGCGAATCTTTGCCGCCGACAATTGTGAATCCCAAACCTTTTTTGCCCGGACCCTTTTCGAGCACAAACGTGTGGAACGTGCACACCGTCGACCTCGGCCGCCGCGGCAACGTGCAAAACGTCGTGCAATCCGTGCCAGCGAACTCCCCGCCACCACCATCCACACCGTCACCACCGTAACTGTCACCACTGAAGCCGCCACTGCCGTCGCCCTTAAGGTACACAGTGGACACGTTGGTATTGCTCTTGTTGGCTAATCGTGGGCGTGGAGGTGGCGTTATGTACACTAATGTTTGTCCGTTCTTGTTGTACTTTTGGACGGGCGGCGCCCCGCAGCTTCCACTGCTGTGGTCGTAGTCCACGGATGTCTCGGGCAACCTCGCCCGCGGTCGGTCGGTGGTGGAGTCCGTGGTCTGGTCCTCCGGGTCACGTCTTGTAACCAGAAGGTGTACCACGCTGCATCCGTCATTAAGTAATCGGTTGGCATCGGCCGCATCCAATCCGGCCAGGCGGCGACCATTGACATTCACTATCTGGTCGCCCACTTCCAGACTGCTGGTCCTGGGCAAAGCAAAATTATGATTGGTTAAAATAATAATTTACTGCATTACAAATAATATTATCTAGAACGGTGAGGTTAGTTCCCAAAAGTGTTTTAATTTATAGCTTTCGAGATACAAGGTAAAGGTACAGGGTGTTTTTTTGTGTATAGTCAGTACACGTGTTATATCTATATTATAGAGTAATATGTCTACTGAAGAAAACTTTAAAAATAATGTATGACAATTATTCTTCTACTGACGTCCGATGATCCTGTCTTGCCTACCCACATCTATATTAACAGCAGTATTTATAAATAAAAACTATAAACCTTCAAGTCACCACTTACGGCTTATGTGCTCGATTGTGAAACACCATTAAGAGGATGTAACACTGCCATTTGTTGTCCGTCTTACAAGTGCAGAGTAACATAGCAAATTTGCGTTCAGCAAATCGCGTGTAGCTTCGTTGTGGTTTAAAAATTAGAGTGGATCGACCTATTGTGAAACTTGATGGTTAAAACATTATCTGTGTTTGTATGTTGGTGTTTTACGATAGTTAAATTTTTTAGCAAGTTATGAGTATATAATATACAGCAAAATAAAATGCTCATGACTCACTTAAAAATTGAACTTTCATAAAAAACCAGCATACAAACACAGATTATGTTCTTACCATCAAGTTTCATAATAGGTGGATTCACTATAATTTTTAAACTAAAACGAAGCTACAAGTGATCTGCTGAGCGTAAATTTGTTATGTTACGGACTTGTAAGACGGACAACAAATGGCAGTGTTACATCCTCTTAACAAGTCCGGGAACTCCCGCCTGAGCCGTTGATCGTGAAATATTGAGAGACGTTACGTTCAAATCACTTATGTATCATAATCACACTATATGAAACCGCAATCTATTCGTAAATAAACAATTCTAATAAATATTAAATAATGAGGTATAAACAAACTACGAGATCTTCTAAATATTTCGTTGAGAAACTGATTGGGAATCACGTATTAAGAACCTATGATATGAATTTCACAAACGTTGCAAAATTTGGATGACTTCACGTATAATATATTATGCAATTATATATGGGTAATAATGTAATATTATATGTTTTAAAATAAATTATATTAATATTATATCATAAGTCATAAACTCATAACGTATACACGTTGAAAACTGGTCGTACCTAGGGCGATAACAGTACGAAAGTCAATACATGATGTACGTGTGTGCAACTTCATTAAAACGATGTTTTATTTAAGTGAAATGTCACCTGGCCATAACTATTATATTATGCCACCAAATTATCTGGGTATGTTTTCAATTCTAGCTTTGTGATTTGACTATAGTAACCATTTTTGTATCTAGATTAATAATATTGTGTAATCCATTTTTAATAACATTCCTACAGACTATAATAGGTGTCCTCGACCGAAATTTCAATAAATATATGTATAACCTTATATTTTACATATAAATTCTCAGGAGTAAAATGTTCTTGAATTTGGAAATTGTACAGTGGAACATCTATTATTATACATCACACAATAATGCTTTATCGGTGATAATAATGCCAAATCTGTTATTAAATAACATGTTGCATGGAAAATGTAATCGGTAAAAAAAAAAATTAGCTCTCAAATTTAATTTTAACCATCAGTTATTGTTAATGATCAATTTAATATAGGTATTAAAAAAAACTCTATAGATAAATATAATATAAATCAAAAAGTACACACAATTTTATACATTTGTAACCGACATTTAAAAACAAATCCTGAGATTTAAAATGAAATTTGTTCAATCACTTTTATCACCAACTTGGTTCGAATGCATTTTGATAAAATGAAACCAGAACTGAAAAGCTATACTCTAATTAAATTATGCAAATTAACTAAGCAGTAAGCATGCATTAATAATTTCCATCAAATAAAAAAGTATAAAAATAAATAAATACTAGGTCTAATCATTTTAAAGCAAACTAGATCAAATCTGTGAGAATAAAAATTGCATAAAGCTTATGGGAAATTTCTTTCTTTATAAATTGAATATATTCATCCACTTTCATTGTTAATTTACATAAATAAACTCGTTTTAAGTAGCAATCTAAAAATTTTATTTAATGTTCTAGAAATGTTTTTAATACAAAATTATTGAAAAATGGGAATGAGTACATAGTTATGTATATACATATAGAAAGGTAAAATTCTGTTTATTATCTGGCACACAGTGCTAAATAAAATTACCACTCATGTATTATCATAACTACATTATATAATTTATTTAAATATGTTAAATATTATAAAAATTTTAACGAATGTAAATGTAAGTAATCTTATAGAAATAAATTTCCAAGAATAAAAATAATCTTCAAATTATGATATATTTAATGTTATCAATTATTTCAAGTAGATACTCCTAAACTTAAGTATGGGTACCTACATTATTTTCATCATTCAGAATTATAAGGTTAATAAAATAAGAAACAAATATTATTATTTATTATTGAGTTATAGGTAAGTCTTTCAATAATTTTCAAAATAATACGTTCATGTGATAATTGTATCACATACAAATAACCATGGCAGTGATTTACCACTACCACCTGTCTAACTTTTTATAAAAAAATTCTGACAACAATTTTAACTTTAAAATGTAGGTACCTAACGTTATTATATTGATTTTACACAAAGAGAAAGTTGATAGGTCCACATATATAACATAATAAACTGTTAATTTTAATCCAACTACTTATAAAGGTAACGAGTGATAGCATTAACTATTATATATACGTCTACTCATAAAAAATATATCATTGATATATTCAAGTAATACTGACCTACTATAAAATATATATTACGTATAATATAATGTTGTTTAGTTTAAATATTTTTCAAATTATTATTTTTTTTTTCAAGACATCGTAATAAAAATAATTATAATATTCAATCGTTACATACCTAACTTTTGTTCTCAATTAACAACAATAATAAACCTCACCAAAAAATATTTATTTATTTTTATCCTATACACATTTAAATTGACACATATTTTTAATCACACGCTGTATGATAACTTCCGGTAATGATTTTTTTTTAATCATATAATTATTTTTTCATCTTGACCAAATACACAAATAATAAACCACAATAATAATATGATAGGGCTATTGGGCAGCTGTAATTCACAAAATAATAATATATTTCTGTTTATATGTATATTTACCGATCAGCCACTCCTCCTGACACAATATTGACGACCACATAGCCGAAACTGTTCTCCGACCGTATTTCTTTAATCCGAACACCTAGAACCTGTTCTGGATTATCCCTATTCAATTGGACCACTCTGTATTCCTTATTTTTATTGGCTCTCGGTTGTAGAGTGTTCGATGATTGATTATTGTTATCAGGCAGTAAACTAAATGCATAATGTCGCTTTATGCCATACTGAGAAGCGCTCCTAAAACAGTAATCTTGTGTACCATTTTCTGTGTTTCCATTGACAGTATCGATCGGTGGATCATTTAGTAGTATGCCACTGTCATCGTCTTCCGGTGTACAGGTCGTTTTTTCTGCCGCCGTTTCTGCTATTCTCTTCCGAAATTCGTCCAAGCCGGGTAACGCACCGTAAGAAAAACTTCTTAACTTGACCTGCATAAAATTAGTAAATTCAAGCGTAAAAAGTATTTTAAACAATTGACATTCTAAAGTGCAATACAAAATTATACGTGGATTATAAGTTACATCAAAAATACGAAATACATTGCTATACTTAACTATATAACTGGTAAATTTAAGTATACGTTTTACTCCATATATACACTAATTGTACAATAAGTATACAAATTAATTTTATCATTTTAAATTTAATTGAACTATGATCAAATGACATATTGTATTATTATTTATTACATATTATGGAGCCATATTAAAATGAATGATCAATATTATTATTACTAACCTTATTTATTTTGTTTTCACCTGAACTCGATTCTTCGGTCTCGGTTGATTTATTGGTTTTGCTAGAAGAGTTCTTATAAAATTTGGCTAAAAATCTATGAGTAGATGATTTTAAATATCTTTCTGAAATAGCCTTCAATCTACCAGATATTGTTGAATTATCATCATCCTCATCATCAGCAACATCGACGTCATCACGACGAACGCCAACTGTGCAAATATTGTCCTCTTGATAGTTTTTATTCGTTGTATTAGGTTTGAAATGTGTAAGACCTGTATGTTTCACTTGGTCTAACAGAGGATTTCGTTTTTCTTTGGTTTGCTTGTTACGTGCACTTTGCATCACAATTGTTCGGTTTCGGACATTGTAACAATTTATGTCTTGATTATACTCGGACCTCTCTAATCTTAATGGAGAGGCGTCTACAAAAAAAAAAAATATACAAATATAAATTAGTATAAATCATCATTTTTGGAATTTCATAAAACTACTACTACTTTTAAATTAATTCACTAATATAATTAAATTTACTTAAAAGTTAACACCTATATAGTTTTTTTTAAATTGTTTCTTTTTCCCATGTTTCAATAATAAAACATAATATTATTTTTAGTACCACACATTTGTTCGTAATCAGTAATAGTATTTTAAAATGTTAAAATAAATCTTCAGATTTCCAAAAGTTTTTCATTTTTTTTTTTAGGTACACCTTGGTAAATCATGATAATAATCAGAGTAATATAGAACCTAAAATAGTAAAAAATGTATTTTTATTGAAAAAAAAACGAATAGTGGATATAATTGCTAATATTTAAGATGTATTCATTATGTATCAAATAATAATAGTATACGATAAATAGATGTTTTCGTGAACCGACTTTCAGTACTTAATATACCACGATTTCACAAATTAAAATGTTGATTTTTAGAGTTTCTATTATGAAAACTTTTATCCTTGAAATACTATGATGTTTAAATTTAACACAATAAATTGACATAAAAATAAAAATTGTTGGCATTTAACTTAATTACAAAGAACCTAAATTTTTAATTATTTATGAATAGTTTATTCGCAATTTATAATTTAAACTTGGATAAAAGCCACTAATGATATTATAGGTGTATGAAATAAATCCGGAGAAATTTTAATTTCTGAATTGATTTTTATATGAAAATAATAATAATAATAATAAAATAATCGTTGGATCTGCTGTACTTTAATAATGTATAATCATGTATAGAATAAGTTTATAGAAAGTTGTTTAACAAACCCTATTTAAATGTGATATCCAACATGAAAAATTTGTTTAATCCAAATAACGTCATTTTTTTATTTAGCAATTCATTTTAAGATTTTAAAAAAATTTTAAACTCTAGCCTTTTAAGCTTTCTATCTTAGTGTCTTCATTAGTATTTAATTATTATCCATTGTATAGATTGTAATTGTTTTCTATTATTATTATTTATTTTTCAAAAATATAATATACCTCACTTAACATGTTCATGTGGGATAAATAAAACATTAATTCAATTGACTACATAATTTATTATTTTATGTGTCTTGAACTCTTTGTACAAAAACTCTTTTTATTCAAAATCAAGCAAGTACAAATGTATAAATATAGTAAAATATATACGTATATAAAAACATGAACATTATTCTGAAAATATATAATCTAACTGCACCACGAGGTACGAATAGATGCATTGATATTGTACAAATGATTAATTATTTGAAGTATGACATAAGTATATGATCCATTTCTTGAAATATAGTTGGGTAAGAAAAAAAAATTAACCTGACCTAGGTTAAACGTATGCAGAATTCTTCCATCGCTGGTCATTTGAGGTCAAAATAGTGAAATAAAAACTTGGTTTGATCGAAACCCGCATTCCAATCGGATGCCGAATACTACATTCCCCTAATGGGCGTGACGTCATGCAAGTGCGGCATGCATAATAATAATACTAATAATTGTGACATTTTATTATTTTAATAATATTAAAACATTTAAATTAGGAATGAATTATTTAAAACAAAATCAAAATCGTATAAAGCTATATATTTTCATCGCTTATTTCCATCGACACTTTAAAAATCAAATGTAATACGAGTCCCTATAAGAACTAAAAAATGTATAGAATTCTTTGGAATTTAATTTGAGTGGTCAGTATGCGATTCAAATTTCAAAAGTTATGAACAAAAATTCATATTTACAAGAATTTTGAGTTAACAGAAAATGTAATTATTTAAAACTCAAGAATGGAAATAATCTAAAGGAAATATATTTTTATTCTTACCGAGTGTCATCAACTATGTTAATAAGTTTACCTCATTGTATCACTTAATACCGTAACCAAAATTTAAATATTGTGGAACACAAAAAAATGTTTCCAGCATACAAAAAGCACTATTTATGTTTTACTTTTGTACAATGTAGAAAAGAAGCCTTTTAAAAACTAGTGGCTTAGTTTACTAACTAGTAAGCTAACCTTATATAGTTATTAGTTGTTCGTACTTTGTTTTATGCTTCAGATTATTACACATCAAGAATACTTTTTAGAATAGAAAATGTTTCAGTTAATATTCTGTACAAAAAGGAAATTCGTTCTAATAATTAAATCTAAGTATTGTTATCAAGAGGTTCTTGTTTTTAATTCCGTAAAAAAGAAAAAAATAATATAGCTGTACTAAAATTACCTAAACTATAATTATAATACCTACTTATACAATCATGAATATTTTAATTTTTTTTATCATTAATAGGTAATACATTTATTTTATTAGATTACTTAAAGTTAATTATCTCATAAATCAATAAAATATATAGGTTATACCTAATAAATACAAAAAAAAAACACAAATCAGTATAAAACCAATAGTTAGCTAGATGTTATCTAAAATATTTGTTTTTATCAATAAATTCAATTATCAATATCAATAATCAATTATAGTTACCTATTATTCAAGCTAAATATTTCGGTTGTAACATGAATGACATAAAAAAAATATCAAGAACCGATTTAAATTGTAAATTGTATTTAATTATTCTGAATCAAATTGTTTGAATAAAAAAATAAAACAATTCGAAACTTGTTGATTAAAATAATATTATACATAATATTAAAAAAAAAAATATTATATTGTAACATAGTATTCGATATTGTTATCTCTACGATGGGTATGTGAATCGCATACCTACACTTAATCATATTATTATCACCGACGGGTCGGGACGTCCGGCTGCTTGCTATCTGAGATATAAAATATTAGACAACTATAAATAAAACTCTTTTAGTATAGGCGAATAATTTTTGTTGTCGAAGCCTTAATTAAAATGGTAAAAAAAACATTAAAAACACATTAATATATTTATTAATATGTTTACGTGATAAATGGCATCATCCCCTTTGAGTTGTAAAGGAAAAAAATGTTACATAACTATAAAATTCTGATGTCAAATATTTCTTAATCGTATGAAGTATGGTAAATAATTATCGTTATCAATAAATTATCAAAAGTCCATATGGTATATCAGTATGCAATATAATTTAGAATATATTGACTTTCAATCGTATGTTCTTTTAGAGGTCTACCATTGAGTATTGAGTATTGGCTCATAAGTTATTAAACAATAGCTTTATTATATTATAGCCATATTTTTTTGGATATCAATCTTTATGTGTATGCAGGTATATCGTGTATATAATATATTAAATCATAAGCACTGCTGTTGAAATCTCTGTGTACTGACGTAGGCGCTTCTCCGCTCGTGTATATGGATGTCGAAATATATGACCTGATTCTCACGAACGTTCGGGGTTATATTATACATATATATAAATTAAGTATACCTACTCATAATAAATGATAAAACTATTTGTAGCTACTAACCTTAAAAATTCATTTATTACTCAAAATATGTTAAAGTCCAAATATTTATGATTGTGAACTAGGAATAGGTGGATATAGAAATTAATGCTTGTATTGTATAAAACTAAATTATCATACACTACTAAGTTGTTCCTTCAAATGATTGATAGCAAGATCTGAAGAAAAAGTGCAATTTGAGAAGAAACTTATAAGATTAAATGCCGTCTAATAACCACGATGAAAGATATTGAAAATGTTGTTTTTGTGTACGTGTTATCGGTTTCGACTATCAGATAATCAAAATCCAAAATTCTGCCCAGAATATAATAATACGAGTATAGTTGATTCCGACGTGTTCATCGTAATATTCTACTCGTTTATTTATTCGGTCAGGATTGTACTGCATGTGTGGTATTAAATTTACAAATATATATAACTAGATTATATATTATAATATATCTATAAAATGCATAGATCTATTTGAAACGATGAAGTATCATGAATTACAAACGTATTTTAAAATATTAATTCAAGTATTAATAGAATATAACATCCTACAATAATTGAATAATAATGTATTGTTTATTTTATGTTATATCCACGACTCATGAGTTATTAGCTATTTGTGAAATGAAATATTTTTAAAATCACATCAAAATATTATTAACGGCTATGGCCCATGAATCAAGATGTTATGTTATAGTAATTTATATAACATTCTTAGGTACATTATACCTATTTCTATACGTATTGAAACAATTCTGTTATGTTATAACAAACATGTACCTAATAGATTTAGGTAATTAGATAGGTAAAACGTCATAGGCGGAAATCGGGGGAGGGGGGAGTCTTAGAAGGACTTAGCCTTCTCCAAAAGTCCAACAGCTATTATGAAGGGGAAAAGCCCCTTACTATTTAGATTATTTTGAAAAATAGTAGCCCCCAATAATATCAATCAATTTCGGCCTATGTACCTACACCGTGCATATATACAAATCACGACAGTAAATTAACAGCTAACTAGGTACATAACATACTAATAAATGTATAGGTACAAATAAATATAATATATGTATAGTATATAATATGTACCTAATCTAGACCTCCTAGGTCCTGGTGGTAAGTTGTAATATCTCTCAGCCGAATAATCAGGATCACCCGAATCGTAGTTTCGAATCGGCGAGAGACTAAGCAACCGTGGTGCTGCATCTTCCGTGTTTTTCTGAAACCACTTCATGCTCCTCGATTTTACCATTAACTAAAACAAAAACATTATATTTTTATTTACTACGAATTTATTAAAACGAAAAACAAAAATGTCCTTAATTAAGCGCAGTATATAAATGTATAAATGAATATTATTATTTTAAGCAAACAGCCCATCAATACAATTCGGATTCAAAATTCAATTATTCACGTAAAACCACAGTGCAACTGAACTATTATTATTGTCGATTTACTTTTTTCATGCGTACTTAGTAATAACAGGTTTTGTCTGCGTAATCGTAAACGTGAATCCACGTTCATTTATACTCACTAAAGGCCTAAAATGTTCATGAAAATGGTGCGTTATTTGAACAAATGGTAATTCGTTTACTCTTCATGTGCAACATAATTGTGTATATAGTGGGTGTATACTGTATAATACAAACGCATGTTGCTTAATTCCTTTACAGTGCAGTTTAATAAATATATATATATTAAATATTTGAAACCGCGGTCTATAGAATTCATAATTACGACTATATAAGATTAAATATATTAACATAGAATATAATAATCAATAGAATTAAAAAAACTGATGATCAATTATTTGCGAAAATGCCACATTTCAAAAGTATCTATAATATAATCGTTATTAACTATAATATATTAAGTTATTTTCAATAAAATACTTTAACTAATCCACGGAACTCAAAATGTCAACACTATAGATACTTTGGTACGTATAAGTTAATGAATATGAATAATTTTAAAGATAATTCATAATATGGTATGCAGATTGTAGGTAACTCCTTTTTTGACACCATGCATGTACAAAAATATTGAAATAATCGACAAATATAGTATTCCTTCGAAAATAATAATAGTCGTTCATCTTAATACAATTATATTCACATACTACATAGTACATAGCAGTAGCGTAGTCACGGAGAGAACCAATCGGCCAGGCCCCCTCCTCCTGTTGGCTGTATTATTTTGGACAATGAACGTTTGGGCACACTAACCTAAAGGCCAACAAAGGCCTACAAACAGAAAAAACGTTTGGGCACTTAGAATAAAAGCTATTTTATAATTTTGGCTCTTAAATCAGATAACGTTCGGGTAAACATTACCAGAGTACCAGACCACGTCTGGGTACACATAATATTATTATATGAGTCATGCGTGATCTATGGTTTATACTCTATAGTTCTATATAATAGCGACTATTACTATACTTAATAGTCAACTTAATTGTAACGAAGCTCGATACTTCATCTCTAAAAGAGTTTCTTAAACTGTGTTCCGTGGAGGTCACTTCAGGGTTTCTCGAAACTTGTGGTTTTTTTTCAAAATTTTAAATTTTAAATTTTAACACATTATTATAACTTTTATTGTAAATAATCCGAACATAAAATGACGCATTTAAAGTATTGAAACAAAGTAGTGGTTCTGATTGTCGAAGTGTAATAACTTATTGTTAAAAGATCGATATAAAAAAGCTAAAAAAAAATTGGGGTTCCACGGAGAAAGTGCACATCTAAAAGGGTTCTATAAATAAAAAATTTTAAAAAACGCTAAATTATAATATTTTGATTATTATATGATTATTATCGCAGTACACGCGAAGAATATATACGTAATACACCTACGCGTACTGTCATCGACTATAATCTGTATTACACCTGCATCAATATAATTTATAACTGTACAGTTTCTTTATACATTCATTCACTCAGTATCTCAGTTTGGTCCATTTTTCTAAACTGAACAGTACGAATCATGAATGTGGACACTACTGAAGATTTTGAAAAATGTGTACATACCTACACGTATTGGTACCTAAACGTGGTATTATTTTTAAAAATATGATGTACCCAAACATTGTATTTATTTTTGTTGAAGCCTGCAAAATTGTAAAAAAAACTACTTGACTTAAATAAACGTATTTAACAAAAACTTTTTCTAAAATTAGATTAACAAATTTTCCATTTTAAATGTCTAACTAATTTTTATTATACAATGTATTACTTTTTATTTTTAATATTAAAAACAAACAAAAATAAATATTGTATACCGTACTTGTAACACAAGAGTCTATTAACTGTATAAAAAAAAAAAATTGATTGGAACAAAATTTGTTTCATTTGTCAAGTCTTTCTGTTACACCTATAGTAAAATATAAATGATTTAATGTAAGTTAATATGAATATTTTGACAACATTTAATTGGAATTTTTAAAGATATCATTATTATTTTCTTTAATGTATAATAATGTCTATAATATACATTAAAGCTTAAAATCAATAAAATAAGAAAATTGGAACTGTTTGCTTGTTTAATATTGCGAAAAAACAATGAGACTGTAGATATATACGTGTACAGTAACTAAAAAAAAGATCTTTAACTGTAAAGTAAAAATATCATATCAAAATTTAGGGTAGGCGCCTATTAATAAAATACATTAAAATATTTTTATATAGATCAATTTATTTGATTTATTCTGTGCTAAGATTAATCACAATCATCTCAAGAAATTGAAAATATACATACAAAAGTTATAAAACAATCCTCCTATTTATAAACTTCATAATACAATATAAATATATAATATTATCTGAGCGTAAGGCTAAGTTTCAGTAATGCCAGTGCATGTTTACACAAACGGCTTCAGCCGGGTTTTCATTTTATCATATCTCTGATTCCACTTAAGATGGACTTTCAAAATTTGAAACATAGATTGAACTTCATGTCGAGTCATTGTAAAAAAATAATTCTTAATATTTAGCTTCTTCAAAAGGAGAGATTTTCAAAGTTTGAATTTGTATTACTGACTGACTCTGACCGACTTACTCACTCATTGATTCTATCAAAATTATAAGTAGAAACGTGACATTTGTCACATCTTACAGAGAATGTAAAGGGAAAAATCTTAAAATTTCAATATTTTCAAAATTAGTGCTACTTTAGAGAGGATAGTTATAAATGCATGAAGTAACATTAAGTGACCCAACCTCGAAAAAAAGGCTAAGTCCCAGGCCCGTTCCCCAAAAAGTCTGCCAAAGTATTAAGTAAAGATACCAACATAACGGACAAATCTGCTCTTTCTTTAGTTAATAACTTTGGTATACAAATACATTCATATGTGCAAATTTCTTTTAATTGTATTTCTTATTGCCTAGCTAGATTCAAAAAAAAATAACCAGTGGGCGATTTAAATTTATTACAGTTGTTGACAAGTAATAAAACTAAAAGACATTTGTTGCACATGCATGTATTTGTCTATACAAATAATATATTTAGATTACTTGACACAATGATGAAATCTCTACTTTGGTAGGCAGATATCTTTGAAAGTCTTGGTCCTTTTTCACTGTTATTCGTTTTTGTTAGATACATTTATACGAGCCATGTGAAAAAAATGTAGGTACACGCAATGGGCTCAACCACTTTATGTGAACATTAATATTATATGTGTAATATACAGGTATATTTAGTTGTGTGACGTATGTAGCAAGTAGTATATAGGACGCAAGTACCTACATAATATAGTTGTATAATATTCTTAGCAAAAAGGTTATAGAAGCCAAAAAACCGAACAAAAAGTATAATTAAAAAATAATGTGTGTCGGTATGTATAAGGAAATCGGTAGGTAGTTGTTTTTAAGAAATCAACTGCACTGTATAATAATGTTAACAATTTTGACCTTTGGCCCAGTGAAGAAACGCTTGATTACTAGAAATCGCTTTTCACGTTTCCGCAATTTATTTCACGGCCGATTTAGATTTTGGCTCAACTATCGTCACTGTACCAAAGATCGCTTTCATTTAGCCTAAGAAATAAAAAAAAAGTAGAAATTATAATAAAGAGAAAATTGTATAAAAAAAATCAATTCGTTTAATTCTCGTATAAACCATAACATACACCTTTTAATTAAAAACCTTTGTTTTTTTTTAAATTCCAGACCGTTAAATTTTTTTTTGTTATTGTATTCTACATTTTATGCAACTGAACAGTGAACAATAATTGTATACATGAAAGCAACCACTAACGGTTATGTACAGAAAAAACATCATAGGGTGTGCAGGACAGGTGTATCTATGGTTAACAACTGGCTTGTGAGTTGTGGTAGTGTGATATCGACCAGAACATAATGCCTGTTACACAATATTATAATTTACAATAATATAACGGACACGCATATACACCTATATATAAAGAGGTGAAATGTATATAAAAATATAACACATTATATATTTTGTACAAATAATAGTTCAATTTTTATTTTTTTAAATTGTTAATTCCGAAAATAACTACCAAAGCATATTACCTTTTGATGAAATTTTTTTTTCATTATTGTGTAAACAACTTATACTTTTAAGTACTGCATATACATTTGCAAAGAAAATTAAATTAAATAAGCTAAAGAAATATGAAATATTAGACAGTATGAATTTGTCAAATTATTAAGTTAATTGTATACGGATATAATAGTTTGCTTACGTTAATACAAAATTTCCAATACATACTTAAAACATATAATAAGCTTTTTTTCTTCAGCCGATATGTATAAATCTTATTAATTTCTATCTAAACTATAAACTTAACATACTTATACAAACATGTTTTAATGATGTAATATTTGACTACTATTGATCCTATGATATTACTTAAATTGTGCCTAAGCATGTCATCTTTTCAACTACGTATTATGAGGTAATTAAAAATTACAAAGATAAAAATGATCTATAAGTGGTATGTACAATACGACTGTTCACGACTTATACATGTGATAATAGTATTGTGATTTTATAATAAACATTTTGGATTACCATTCGAACTCTACAAATAATAATACGTGTATACAATAAAACATGACATATACTATATTCAATATTGTATACAAATAGGTTATTTTTACAATTTCTCGTGACATGAAAAAGAAACTAAATACTTATATTCAACGATTGGAAATAAACAAAAGACGATTCGCATGCCCTAATCAAAAGGTACGCCGTACTATCGCAGATGTATAATTCTGTACGTGATCTTAC